GCTCGTGCTGTGGCGCCCAATGCTAGGGTCATGGAGGCCAGCATGCCAGTGACTCGCGCAAGGGAGCGGATGGGGACTCGTCGTCCTGCTTGGCCCTGGGCGATGATGTCGGTGAGTGTGGCTAGGAGCTGAGCTCGTCATTCGTGACCGATAGAGAATTTGCCGCGAACTGCGTCGACCTCCAGGCCGAGGAAGTGGATCAGGCGCGTGGGGTGGAGATGCGATTTTTTCTCGTTGATAACAAAACCAGCCGCCTTTAGGTCTTGGGTAACTGTGGCACATGCTGAGCGCGCGTGTGTATGAGAGTTGCAAAGGAATAGGAGGTCGTCAACGTACGGGACGACGCGTAGGCCGCTGGCCCTCCACCGCTTTGCCAACTGTTTGATTAGCTGGGTGAAAACGAACGGGGCGGTGCGAGACCAAACGGCAGCGAGCGGAAGGAGTAGTACGCGCCCTCAAATTGGAAGCCCAAGTACTTCCAGGAGGAGGGGTGCATCTCGACATGGTGATAGCCGGACTTCAGGTCGATGGAGAACATCCAGTCGCCGGGACGGATGAGTTCGGCTACCCGGTTCAAGCCTTCATACTTGAACTTTGGAATTTCGAGGTGGGCGTTGACTTTACGAAGGTCGAGAATGAGGCGACATTTGTTACGCTGCTCAACGACGTTCAGAGGACTAACGCAGGTCAGCGTGTCTCGCGTGGGGACTGGCATGGCAGAGCCAGTGGCAACAAGTTCTTGAATTGCTTCGCGAGTGAAGTCAGGGTGCGTGTGAACGCCGGCATGGTTCTTGTCGTCGAAGGAGGGCGGGGCTGTGTGCTTCCAGGGCAGCCAATAGCCTTTGGCGATTATAGATATTATGAAACTGCTATCGCACCACGAGCACCACCAATGCAGGGCCTGGCGCAGTCGGCTTTGCAGGATCGTGACGTCCTTGTCCGTGACGGCGTATTCGTAGGGGTCGTGTCGGTCAAGTGGCCATCCGTGTTCGGGTCCTGCAGCGTTTCGGGTCGAGAGGGGAGAGGGCATTGCAATAAGGTGTTGGTGCCGAATCGGGCAGCCCATGGTCGTGTGTTGCCTACCACATGGCTAGGCCAGCGCCTTATCTTAGGAGGTGCTTCCGCGTGTCCTTCCCGATGTGCGTGGTTTCCTCCTCGTGCTCTTTTTTCCTCTCCGTCTTACCCCTTTTCTCTCTTTCTCTTACACACACACTTGCTCTCTTTTTATTTCTCTCTCCCTCTTTCTCTCTCTTTCTCTCTCCCTCTCTCTCTCTCTCTCACTCACTATCTCTCTCTTTCTCTCTTTCTCTCTCTTACTCTCTCTCTCTCTTTCTCTCTCTCTCTTTCTCTCTCTTTCTCTCCCTCTCTCTTTCTCTCTCTCTCTCTCTCTCTCTCTCTCTCTCTCTCTCTCTTTCTCTCTCTCTCTCTCTCTCTCTCTCTCTCTCTCCCTCTCTATTTCTCTCTCTCTCTCTCTCTCTCTCTCTCTCTCTCTCTCACTCACTCTCTCTCTTTCTCTCTCTCTCTCTCTCTCTCTCTCTCTCTCTCTCTCTCTCTCTCTCTCTCTCTCCCTCTCTTTCTCTCCCTTCATGTTACTCTCTCTCTCTCTATCTCTTGCTCTCTCACTTTTCTCTCTCTATCTCTTTCTCCCTCTCTCTCTCTCTCTCTCTCTCTCTCTCTCTCTCTCTCTCTCTCTCTCTCTCTCTTTCTCTCTCTCTCTCTTTCTTTCTCGCTCCCTCTCACTCTCTCCTTCTCCGTTTTTTCGCGGCTCCTTGTGTCTTGCCCTCATGATTTTGTGCCATGTCCTTGGTGGGCTTGATCGTGGCCGCCCGTTTTCTTGGGTGGCATACGTGGCATGTTTGTGGGTCCCCGCTACTCCGCTCTTTCGTACTCTCCCTCCTCTTTTTTTTTTTTTTTTTTGCCTCCTTACATGCATTGTGGCGGCTGCTCGATGTGTTCTCATGTGGCTTGGCTTTCCAGCCCCCTTCTCAAGCGTACTCGGGTTTTTTTTTTTTTTTTTTTTCAACTAGAAGTCAACTTGCCGTGGCGACACACAAACACAATTACATGGTTCTACCATGGTCCTAGGCACACGGCCTACGCATCCCCTAGGGCAGTCCTAGCCCGCTGGGTTTCCTTGCCTTGCTCGAAGGCTGGCCACCGGCCACGCACCCACCGGTGCGGCCCCATATGCCACTTGCATATGGGCAAAGGGCGCCGCCCTTGAAGACGAATAAAAGACGCTCATACGACCGGTGAGGGGCCTTGCGTGCCACGCCCGCCCATGGGGCATGCGTTTGCCATGTGGCCCGGCTGGCCACAGCGGAAGCATACGCCCTTGAAATGCGGCTGCGAGCATGTGAGGGGGGGAGAGCCCTTGATGTCCATTTCCCCGTCACGACCGCGGGGGGGACCGCCGCGGGTGTAGCCGGTGCGCACACGCTTGAGTGCCGCGACATCAGCGACCGCGAGCTTGAAGGAGCGTGAGGTCAAGACACTCTTGGACTGGTAGAGCTGAAAGCGGTCGGCCGCTTCGAAGCCGGCTTCGTCCGCCACTTGAAGCACCTCGAAACGCTTGTCGATAAGCATCTCGATGTGCTTGACGTTGTTGAGCGCGCCGATGACGTCGTCGTGCTGCAGCTTGTAATCGATGTGCTTGAGGTGTGCTTGGATGGCAGTGAATACCTCTGCCTGATCACGTACGCCCTTGCGCACGAAGGTGGTTGGGGTGGGCGTAGGGGCGAGGGGGGGAAGAGGTGGTGCGGAAGCAATAATGCGGTGGCGGGCAATGTTTACCGGAGCCTCACCATCTTCATTGTCGGAGTCGTCGCTGTCTTCGATGTCGATGGCAGGCGTCGGGGGCGTCTCTGGAGGCTGTTCGTCGAAGCGCGGGGCCCTTGGGACGCGAGGGGGCATTGCCATTTCTTTTTTCTTGGCCAAGTCAGTCGTAGCAGCGTTGATATTGTCGGAAGAAGTGGCGAGCGTAACAGGCGCCTGCTGCTGTAACAGCGCGAAAAGCGCCTGGAGCTGCTGCGCAGTCAAAGCGGGGGTGGCGGCGGGTGGGGCGAGCTCCTCGGCAGGCGCGTGCCGAACGGTGGGGCCCGCCTGGGCGGCGGGCGGCGCGGCGCGGCTTGGCATGTGGACCTCGGTTGACTGCACGCGCGGCTGCTTGGCAGTCGCGCGTGTTTCTTCAGGGGTGGCGTGAGTTGCGCCGAGCAGGACATCGACACCCGAGGTCCCCTCGCCAAAATTGTCCTCAGCAGGGCGTTTTTGGCGACGGTCGGTTACCGGTCCGAAGTTCCGAGATCACCGATATTTGCGGGGGTGTTCGCCTCGCGAGTTGGTGCAGAATTGGCGGGAGTCATTGCCGATAGGTTGTGCTGTAAAATGTCGGTTAGTAATGTAGATGGTGCCCTGAAGCGTGGAAGTGACTGAGTTTTCGCCAGGTTGGACGAGAACGAAAAAAGAAGAACTAGGAACTCAAATGAGGGAAACTCAAATGAGTTGAACTAGAAATGAAGAACGTGGGTGAGGCCGAGAGGCCTCACGTTCCTCTTTTGAATGCAAAAGAGGGTTAGGTGCGCTTCGCCGCTGCCTTTGCTGCGTTGGCCCTTGCTACACTAGCACAATGCACATTTTTAGAAAGCGCTACACGCTTTCAAAAAATTACATTTTTAAAGCCCGTGGCTAAAATAGCAGACCCTGATGCCACTTGAATTTTGAGGTGCTGAATATTGGTTCAGTTTTCAAGGTATTTCCAACACTTCCCTTCGTTTCTGGAGTGCTGACGTGTCCGGATTCGGTGACGTTTATCTGCCTGGTCAGCAGCATGCAGTAATTGAACTTTGCCTTAGCCAGTTTCTATCAAAGTGCGAAGTTAATGATTGAGTAGAGAGTGAGAGTACAAGTGAATATACCTAAGTGTTGTACCCTCTAAGGGGTGACCCTATACAGTCTATGCAACCATAAGAGATACACATATTTGATACACCCCCTAGACTGCATAGGGGCAGGACCTGAACAAGCAGCTCAAGGAGGCACTACTAGTCCAGCCACTGAGACAAGGGTCTAAAGACCAGTCAGAGATACACATATTTGGCAGAGCTAGGCCGCTCACCTACAGTAAGTCAGTGAGCAAGAAGGTCAGCCAGGGAGCTCCTGTGCCGCCATGGCACCAGCGTAGATCTCGGCCTCACAGCTGGACTGGGCAACAGACGAGGAGCGGGTAGCTCTCCAGGAGACTGCACCTGAACCAAGGCTGAAGAAGTAGCCCTGGGAAGACCTGAGTGTCGCGGCGTCGTCTGCCCACGAAGCGTCAGTGTGTCCAGTAAGGACCACTGGCCTGCGTCCTCCTAGCACTAACTTCTTGCCCGATGTACTTGCAAGATAACGCAAAACCCTCTTAGCGGCAGACCAGTGCTGCGGTCGGTGTCTACCTGTGGCCACAAAACGAGCCAGGATGCTGAGAGGGTATGCGAGATCTGGGCGGGTGCAAGTCATCAGGTACATGAGGCAACCCACCAGCTCTGCGTAAGGGCCACTGGGCTCTACTGACTCCTCAGAAACTGGAGCGGAGAGTCTGTGGTCTACAGGCAGAGGGGTGGGCTGTGCAGAGGAGAACTAAAGGCCGAACCTCTGAAGGACCTGGCGTACCAAGTGTGACTGAGTCAAGGTGATGGTGCGCGCTGCGCTGTCCCTGGAGATCTGCAAGCCAAGGTAACGGCGCAGTTCTCCGAGGTCAGTGCAAGTGTGTCTCTTCAGCAGCTCTGCCTTCACTGAGGCCAGTGCGTCCCTGTCTGCTGTGGCAAAGACCAGATCGTCCACGTAAACAAGGATGTAGAACGGAGTCTGGCCAGCACGAACGAAGAGCGAGGGGTCTGCGGAAGACGGAAAGAACTGCAGGACAGCAAAGGTAGCACGCAGCGTGTCGTGCCACTCACAGGGAGCCTGCCGCAGGCCGTAGACAGGGTGCCGCAGGAGCCACAGGGTCCCAGGAGGGAAGGTGCCAGTAAAGCCCTGAGGGCGACGCAGGTAGACCTGCTCGTATAGGCTGCCCTGAAGGAAGGCAGTGGAGAAGTCGAGGGAGTGAAGCTCGTCGTCACGCTGAGCAGCTAGGTGTAGCAGAACCCGAAGAGTAGTCATCTTCGGTGTCGGAGCGAAGGTCTGGAAGAAGTCCACCCCCTCACGCTGACTGAAAACCTCTAGCCACGTAGCGCGCCTTCAACACAGGCGGCTCTCCAGGAGGGCGCTTCACCTTGAAGAGCCACCTACCATCGACTACGTTCACCCCAGGAGGGGGAACTGCGTCGACGAAGATGCCGGTGGATCTCCAAGATGCCATCTCCTGCTCCATGGCAGCTATCCACTGAGAGGCCCAGGATCCCAAGGTCGCCTTAGCGTAACTGCGAGGGGTCGGAATGTCAAAAGCGTCTGGGTCACCCTCAGGGACTAGCAGCATGGTACAGAGATGGGGAGCAGCCTCGGACAGGAAAGTAAGTTCGAACTGGCGGTCCTCCAGGACGTCACTGCCGAGGGCAGGAGCACCCCCGACAGACGGAGGATAGGCAGGGTCAGAGACCAGAGCGGTGGCGTAGTCAAGGCGGCGGGTAGAGGCGAAGTCAGCAACCGCAGCGACAAGAGCGTCAAGATACGAGACCGGAACAGACGGGTCGGTAACGAGAGAGGCGAGGACCCGAGGAACAAGAGGACGAGCAGCACGAAGGTAGTTAGACAGAGGAGGAGGCGCAACGGTAAGAGAGGACGGAGGAGGCGACGGGAGAAGGGGAGGACGAGATGCGTGGGAACGGAGCAACATAGGGTGAGAGCGCGTGACAGGGGAGACAGGACGAGCGCGGGAGGGACGGCGGGACCAGACATGAGACGGAGGCGTCGGGTCAGGAGACAGAGGAGGGGACACAAGGGGGGAGCGAGGGGGAAGACGAGCCGGGGACGAGTCCGGCGGAGGGAACACAGGGCCGTAGACTGGAAGAGGAGGAGACGGCAAGGGAGGACCTGACGCAGGGTCAGAGGACGGAAGGCCAAGCAGGCGAAGGGCGGACACCGGCGGGGACTGCTGCGGCGGCGGCACAACACCAACACTGGGACCGCAAGCTGCTCCGCGGCTACCTCCGGAACACTCCACGATAGAAGGAGACGGAATCGTCAAAGGTGGCGTCGCGAGAGTGAAAGAACTGGTGAGACGGTGGGTGGTAGAAGTGCCAGTCGGACGCGTCAAGGGAAAAACCTAGGAAGACGCAGGGAAGGGTGCGGGCTGTGAGCTTGTCCGTGCCAGAGGCACGAACGTGAGCAAGGCAGCCCCAGACGTGGAACGCAAACGCGTCACCAGGAGACCCAGTCCAAAGAAGGGTCGGCGAAACCTGCGGCTGCTGGGAGTGCGGCCACAGGTTAAGCTGGTGAGCAGCGTAGCGCACGGCGAACGGCCACAGAAAATGGGGTGCACCGGCATGGACCATGGAGGTGCGAGCCACCTCTATGACCAGACCGATGCGTCACTCAGCGACCCCATTCTGCTGTGGGGAGTCCGGTAGGGTGAACGTCTGGGTGTTGCCCTCCGCATGACAGAAGCGACCAACGACACCTGAGGCAAACTCGCCACCACGGTCGGAGTGAAGACGCAGGACAGGGAGACCTCGGTGGACACGGGCAGAGACAAGCCAGGGGATGAGAGCGGCACGCACGTCGGCCTTGCGCTCCAGGAGAAAGACTGTGGTGTAGCGAGTGAAGTCGTCAACAAGCACGCCTCCCGAACCGCCACCCACCACACCACCACGCGCACGACCACCACCAGCGCCAGGCCACCCGGCGGGAGGGCACTCGCCAGCCTCGTCTGCGGCGGCTGCTGTGGCTGCTGCTGCTGCTGCTGCTGCGGCGGCTGCGGCTGCTGCTGCTGCGGCTGCTCAGCCGGACCTGGCAGGGTCCCCTTGTCCAGTCCACCACCAGACGACCGGACTCCACCACCACCTCCACTGGCACCCCCACCACCACCGCCGCGCCCAGCCTTGGGGCGACGGCCCTTCCCCGGACGGAACTGCGCTGCAGCGGCGGTCTCAGCCACAGCACCAGAACCATCGGAGAAGGTGCACTGAGCGGGGGCACAACCCTGAAAGATAGGGACCGTCACAGCACCGCTCGCCTGGGCGATAGAGCGGTGGCGGGTCTCAATAACAGTCAGGGTGTCTACAAAGTCTGTGAGGGTGAGGTCACTGGGGTGAATGCTAAGGAAGCGCTCACGAGCAGCGGCAAGGCGGTCAGGGAGGCGGGTGGCAAGTAGGTAGAGGGTAGAGGTAAGGGGCGGCTGGTGGGCCCTAAGCTGTGCGTCAGTGCAAGCACCGCGCCAGGTCTCATCTATTGTGCGCAGGTGGGCAGCCAGGTCAGCGATAGTGGGGAAAGACACAAGGTCAGGAAAGAGCATCGGTAGGATAAGGCGACCCACCGAGGCAGCAGGCGGGGCGGAATAGCGCTGGATAACAGTGTCTAAGAAAGCCTGGGCGGTGGTGATAGACCTAAAGCGAGGACGCTCAGACGAGGGGAGGGCATTGCTAATGGCAAGCTGGGCGATAGCGTTACGGGAAAGCCAGACAGAGCGAGCGAGGGCAGCGGCTGTAGCAGACTCGCGCTCAGTAGGGGTGCGGTCAGCAGGCAGCACTGCATGGGGGTCTGGACAGGGAAGCGTACCGTCAAGGTGTGCCGAGAGCGGGTGGCCATCCTGCCGCTGACCAGTGAGGTGGCGGCAGAGGTCTGCGAGCCAGGCCTCGAACTCCAGAGGCTGGCCTTCAGCGTCGAAGCGAAGCTCCGCCGCC